TTCCCTCCAAATCACTACAAAATGGTCTTGTTAACTTATTCCGTTTTTCTTTTCCATTATTCACTCTCGAGATTCTGTCAACTTTAGTCTTATGTGACACATGGCTTGCTCAGGTTTTCAAATTTGCAGCTTCTTCAGAACTTATCTCAACAGAAAGTGATTGAAAAATGCCGACGCTCACAACCATAGCCATACATCAAAACACCACGTTCCCACCCAGGTTTAATATTGTATCTGTAAACATGACAGCGAGCACTTGTCCCCTTACAACATGAACAACAGGCGAGGAAAACGAAAAACGAAACTAGTCATATTAGAATGTCTCCCGCCTACAACTTGGACAGAAAAGGAACATAACAAAGGTGTTCTTCGTCTTTCATAAACTGATGAAGGATTATGCGACAAAACAGCCTGAACACATCACAAGATCGTTTGAGGCATCTCTAAATGGCGTGATATGAGGGCCGCAAATTGTATAAAAAATATTTTCATTGATTTCACATCTATATTACGGATGTAAAAGTTTCTGGTTAAGGAAACGTGACTCAAAGCTTCTATTGAAGGAATTTTGCTAACGCCACGTTTTTCTCGGCCTTGACCCTTCAAGATTTTGGCGGCATACCCACGTGACTCATCCTGGCAGCTTGAGGTTTAATGATATTACGACGCTCTCCCAATCAACACTCAGCCCTTCAGGAAATACCCAGTTATTGGCTGGTGATGGAATCATCATCAGCCAAAAACTCTTTAAATCTGTCGTCATGAAGATCCCACGTGGCCTATTTAATTTTTTAAGAAACCCACGAGACGGAGTTGAATATTACTGCTTTCGCGATATATTGTTGCTACTGACAATATATCCTTCTGATTGTGTTAATAAACCTTACTTTCATTAAGTTTTTAAGTAAAAAATTACTTTGGAAAAATCCAGTTAATCAATCCTTAAATTTACTAAATGACTTCGATACATACCTCTAGGATAAATATTGGATTTTTAAGAGATTTAAAGAAATTTTCGTCTAATGACGGTTCGATGAGTGACGAAAAAATGTGCCAAAAAATGCCACCAAACTTTATTCATATACGGAGATTATTTTTCTTTTAATTCGAATTAATTTTAGGCTATTGTATTTTAAATAAAACCGAGATTCAAAGAAGACATTTAAATTATTTAAACACCACGGTTTTTCGGTGGAAGTGAAGAAAGGGCTATTTAGGTTGTCTTACCGCTACGAATTAGAACGATGCACTGAGTTTTTACTTTTTTTTTTATTTATCGAAATTCTGGCATGCGGGAAATTGGGAAATAGCTTTATCGCTTTCTTGAGAAACTATAAAAACACATGTCATTGGCGTGTGAGTGGTTAGTTCAACGTCGAATATCCTGGTCGTCACGGCACCAATATGTGACACCCACCGGTGGTTGCGGTCGCAGCGCCACCGCCAATATGAGATGTCCACTGGTCGCGACGTCAATATATGACACTGCTCCGTCGGCCCGTCATCAACTCCCAGTTGCGGCGCGAAGCTGTAAGGTTTATTCCACCAGCGTTTGGGGTTGACTCGTTGTCGCTGCCGCCAGCCTGTGTCCCGGTCGATCTGGTCGTTTCCGGTTCGATACCAACTTTGTCGTTCGCAGCTCGCCTCCAACGCCTGGTCACCGAAGTAACTGCTTTGATCTCAAGTCTAACCTACCCACGTTGTGACTTTGATCTTAGGTAGACGAAATCAATCAGGCGTTGGGCCGTAGTGCAAGGCTGAATCCGGGGTAAAGGTGATACCGCACAAGTGTAAGTAAAAGAAAATAATAAAACAAACTCACGAGGTTCAAATATGTTGAGAAATAACAAATTATCTTTATCTATCTGTTGAATACAGGAGTGTGTCTCTCTCCTGGCCCGTTTCTATGGATTCGTGACACTTTTTGCGTTTCTTAAGCTAGTTATGGTATCTTAAGTCGTTCGTCAATAAAAACTCGCTTTTGGTAGGAAGACCAAGTCGAAAAGCGTGGAAATCTTGGTCAGCTCCTGCGAGGCGCTATTCTTCGAGCCCAACAGCTCTCTGTCGATCTGTGTCTTCGTCTCCGATCTCCAACCCAACTGTACTCAACTCAACTCCATACTGAACGCCAGGGGACGTTCGTTTATATGGACACAAATAAAACCGGGGTGGGGCCTGTCGTGGTTTGGGTTCTTTGACAATTCTCAATTCCCAACAAAAAATTTCTTTGCCTCCAGGATAGGAAAATTTATTACTCCCCATTTTTGGAAGCTAATCACTTTCCCCTTCGGGGGGTTTCTCCTCGTCCGTGAGGAGAGGTCGGAGGAGAATTATCCTCCTAGACTCTTCCTTTCTCATATTGATATCTCATACCAATCTTCTTAGTGGGTGTCAACAACTTCCCCGCCTTTCTCATACATTCACCTTCGCCTATCACTCACGCCACTACTCAGCCAATGATCGCTCGGCAGCGTGGGTGTGGCTAAACTTGGCCTTCTTAAAATTATCGTCCAAAAAAAAAAAAATGAAATCTCTTTTCTTTTCTTTCCTTCTTTTCTATCGGCCAGAATTCTTATGAATTCCACGTGGCCATAATTAAATTCTTATCTTCAAACTGGGTGGTAGTTTTTACTTGATAATCACATTCTTTATTTTTCTCGTGTCTTAAAATTTTCGTGTCACCAGATGCTCATTTTCGAGTCACCATGTCTGACAATAATAATGATCCCCTTCTCGACTTTCTCTTCTCATGTCAAGACCCGGACATACAACAGATGGGTCTCCTCGCTGGACACAAGAACCAAAACTAAATGATATCTCTGATATATATTAGGTACCACCAAAATGGATGCGATTTTTCGAAATGAGAATGAAACATCGCTACCACAGTTTTTTAAAAAATTGCCAAAAATCAAGGTATTATCCGATTAAACGACATTTTCAATATTTAATCATTAATGAGTGAATAAATATTCAATAGATAGAAATACTTTGTGGAAGTATTTTTTATTTTAGTTTGGAGTATGTTCACGAAATCTTTTTTAGGTTATATAAAAGAAAAATCCCTGAAGATGTTATTCCAGTAAAAATTAATGCAATATCAAGTGTGAAAAATTTGTACTGAATACTTTTCTGAGAGTTAGTATTTGCATAATTTAATAAAACACTTTTTCTTTCCAATTAGAAAGAGAAAAAACTAAACTGAATATTTATTTTGAAAAATTTACTTGTAATTTTTTAGTGCGATTTTGAAATTCATTCCTTTACTGTTGGTAACAATGGCTATTTTTATTAAAGACATCTGAAGAATTGAAAAATGTAAATTTGAAATTTCGAGTGTGAAATATTTTTAAAAGAATTAAAAATTAAAAAAAATCTTTTGTATGGAAGTTCAAAAAGGAAATAATTCTGAATTACTTCTTTTGACTACTCTTCCCTAAGAATGATACGATATATGTTAATTTCATAACTTAAATACAAAATAATTTATAATTTTTAAAAATTTCATTGTGTGCAATTATATATTTTATGGTATGAAGCTAGTAAGAAATTAATTAAAAAAAATGTAAAATAAAACTCAAAAGTATTTTTCCCTATTGTTTTTTATTAATTTTTTTCTTATATTTGTCATGTAGTATAAAAAATAAAATTATTCATTTTACTAAGTTTCGTAAAAGTGTATAGAATAAAAAGAAATATATTCTTAAACTATTGGTTATATAAGGTTAAAGAATTTATTTTTAAACATAAATACCAATTTCTTGATTACTGTGATGGAATAGTCCATACATACCTTTTAACCCCTCCGGAATAATACACTCTACCACAAAATTACCTATTAACCAATCAACATCCTAGTTCCAGTGAACTAGACTTTTCATTGGCTCAAACTGTAGCAAATTCACGCAAAATATCTTTGCGCGGCTAGTCGTTTGGAGCCGATTCCTACTTCCAGAACAAAATAAAAGGAAGCTTTCAGATCGATTCAGGCAGTTAGAATTTCATCCTGGAGAAGGGCCAAACGAATCCACGCCAGTCAAAATCATAACCAGCTACATTTTTGCCACACAAATTTCTCTGACTCAACACACGCAGCATTTCACTCTACCAGGTACAAAAACTTACAATACTAAAAAGGGATAATAACTCACTACTAACAACTATTCGTAAATATTCAATCAAATATCTAAACAATCCAAGGTAAACAACTCTGGAGAAATTAGACAATTAAACCCTACTTTATTCACGCATACAAACTCCTACTTTATTCATGCATACAAACTACACAAATTTCTGTATAAATAATATTTTCCACTTAACTTTTTTTGACCAGTTCTTAAACACTTGAACAATTTCGAACTGTAAATCAATAAGAAACCCAATTTATCAAAGGTCAATTTCTTGCATTATCAAACTACAAGTTTTCAAATTGTATATTAATTGTGCATAAATGCATGTTGTTTTATTGAAATCTCATAATCGGTGTTTCTTACTCAATTGCCTTATGATTGATTCGTTTTTGAATGTCTATATTCTATATTGTTGTGGATTAATATGGTGAACATGTTCGTAAACTAACCATCTTAATATAAAAACCTTCTGATAACAAATTCAAACTCATAGCAATCCCAACAAAATTGATGACTCCGATGTTTGTAACAACAAAAAGATTGGTGACCACAACGTTTCCAACAAAAAAAATGGTGATACCAACGTTTATAACAACAACAAAATTGAAGACCCCGTCGTTCAATTTAACAGCACCTACAAATTGATAATTCCGACGTTTATCGCAATAAGATTAATAACCCAGACGTTAACAGTAAACAAAATTTGCTGACTACATCAACGTAATCGGTGATTACCAACTTTCAAATCTACTCCGACCGTGAAAGAGGAAACAGAAAAGGCGCGAAAAATTTTCGTTTTCCCTCCAAAAATTACAGTAATTCTACATGGCTGATCCAGTTCCCCAGACTGAAGCTGCAGTAAGACTAGAAATGCCTGCATACAATTCAAACGCTCAAACGTGGTTCATACAGCTCGATGCGATATTTCAAGACCGCCGTATCACATCACAGCAGTCAAAGTTTGCCTTCGTTGTGGAAAAGTTACCTGCAGAGGTGGCTGCAGATGTAGCAGATATTCTCACACGCTTTTCGACTGACAAGCCTTACGAAGTACTCAGGCAAGCCATATTACACCGCACAGGTTGCTCTGGGGAGCGTAGAATTAAGGATCTTCTAACTAACTTAATTTTAGGGACTAGCAAACCGTCCCAACTCTTGCGCCGAATGCAATCTTTACCCGGCAGCACTACCATTTCCGACACTGTCCTGAAGCAAATGTGGCTCGACAAACTACAACCTGACGTTGTGCGAATATTAGCCGCGCTCACAGACGAGGTTGACATACAAAAGTTAGCAACGATTGCCGACAAGATATTAGATACCACATCTACTCGGCAAGTCTCCCCCATAAGCCCGTCCGACGACATTACACCGGATTTCAATCAGAGATTACAACTTCTGACATCAGAAATACAGAAGCTCTCTCTCCGGCTTGACGAAATTCAAAATAGGCCTACAAGAAGTCGGAGCAATTCAATTTTCCGGCACCATAACCGTAGGCCGCGTTCAGCGTTCGTCGCCCCGTCGAAGTCAATTGGTAATTGCTGGTACCAAAGGTGTTTGGTGCGCGCACTAAAGTATCAGCCGCCAAATTTCCGAAACACATTCCCCAACAGACGTACAGGAAATGGCCTGCCTGGCAGCCATTAGAGGCGTTATGCCATGGTTGACAATAGAAATTGTTTTCTACATTTGACCGGAATAAACCTTGATTTTTTAGTCGACACCGGTGCATTGTCAAACCGTTCAAAAATTTGGACAAGTCACCTTTGCTGTATACTAAAGATTCCCACCTCAACCGAGCGGGTTCTATTTATTTCGCGCAGACATCACAAAATTCCCTCCTTTGTATTCAATTATTTCCCTATTCTTCGAACTGCTGCCTGCAAACCTTCAAAGGGTTTTTCTTATATGACGTTTTGGTCGTCTTAGGGCTATAGGGATATCTGCTTCTTCCTGCTCCTCCACCTCGCTTTCTCTCTCATGTTCCAAATCTTTCTGCTCCCCAAGGTCATCGTTGAAAGGGAAGTCGTCATCCCTTGGTTGTTGGCGAGTCCTGTCTTCGGGGATTCTTTTCATTTGTGATGTGTGTCGTAAAATAAGTTGGTCACCTCGCGTTATAATTGCAGATTCGCCTCTGCGTTCTTTTACTCTCCGTGGTGTTGGGTGGTAAACTGGCGTTAGCTTGTTGTGTTTACTTTGTTTAAGTAGTATGACATCTCCGAGTTCTATGTTAGTTTGTTTAGCTTTATTTTTTTTATGATCTGTGCGATTTTCTCAATCTGTCTTTTTCTTTTTTGTCTTTTTGTCTTTGCTTTTCTCCAAGCTTGGTTTTCAAGCCTCTTTTGGAATCCTGGTATGTTAATGTTTATTTCACTACCCATGAAGAGTGATAGTTGTCATTTATCATCTGTTATATCAAACACTGTAAATGCGTCTTCGATATGTTCACTCCATTCTCTCCATGATTGATCCTAGTTGGAGTCTTCCCAGTCTAGGGGCTCTATTGTTGGCATAGAGAGAGCCATTTCTTTCGAAATAATTTGTTATTTTCGAAGTTTGTTACTCGTGTTGTTGTTGAATTCGAGTACTTTTTTCCCCTTTGCTGTTAATTCGAAGTTTTACTCGTGTTGTTGTTGAATTCGAGTATTTTTTTCTTTGCTGTTGAGGGGGTAGTGTTTCGTTAATTCGAAGCTTGTTAAATTGTTACATCCTCGTCGCCAGGTTTGCTGTATACTGAACAGTTCCCACCTCAACCGAGCGGGTTCTATTTATACTCGTGCGGACATCACAATCACCCAAGGACGCTCTATTGAAATTACAGGCCGCTAACGGCACATCAATTAGCACATACGGTGAGCGAGTAATGTCACTCAACATCGGACTGCGACGAGAATTTGTTTGGATCTTTACAGTCGCCGATGTTGAAATGCCAATCTTAGGCGCAGATTTCTTAGCACATTTTGACCTTTCTGTTGATCTATCTTCGCGCACGCTCACTGACGCGCGTACGAATCTACAACGCCGCGGATTGATATCAAGGCACCATACTATTGGTTTAATAATTGTAGTACCTAAAGCGAATGGCTACGAAAAATTACAACAGAAATACAAATCGTTGTTATCGCCTTTTACGTATGCCGAGCCTATCAGGCATAATGCCACTCATACCATAAAGACGACTGCACCATGCGCAACCGCGTAGTCTACATACTAACAAGTTGCGGGTAGCGAAGGACGAGTTTGACAGTATGCTCAAGCTGGGCATAATCTACCATCCTCCAGTCCTTACGGTACACCGCTGCACATGGTCCCAAAGGCCGATGCTCACAGCTGGCGTCCGTGCGGGGATAACAGGCTACTAAACGCCGAAACCATCCCGCATAAATATCCAATCCCCCACATTAAAGACTTTGCCCTATCACTAGAAGGCACCACGGTCTTCACCAAGCTGGACCTACGGAAGGCATTTTACCAAATTCCTATCGAGAAAACAGATATTCCGAAGACAGCAGTAACAACTCCCTTTGGCTTATATGAATTTACCAGAATGCCATTCGGTTTGCGCAATGCAGCTCAGTCATTCCAAAGGCTCATTGACGAAGTCCTCCGCGGACTATCCTATACTTACGCCTATATTGACGACGTATTAATGGCCAGCAAAACGCATGAAGAACATTACGACCAACTTCAAACAGTTTTTCAACGTTTACAACATTACGGTTTGAAATTGAACATTGAGAAATGCGTGTTTGCTGTCCCTAGCTTAACTTTTCTTGTTCACGTAATTGACAAACATGGGTTAACTCCCTTGAACTCTTGGGAATGGTTAATTACTACCGACAATTTATCAATAATTGTGCTACCATATTACTACCTCTGATGAATCTCTTGTCCAAGCATAAGAAAAAGAACCCAAAAATTACTTTGTCTTCAGATAGATTCTTTCAATGCCGCTAGACAATCTTTACAAAACTGTGTTAAATTGTCTTACATAACATCCTCGGATGACGCGAAACTGACTCTAACTACTGACGCATTGTCTAACACATCAGGCGCAGTCCCCCACCAAGTCGTCGATGGGATTGAGAGACCGCTGTCATTCTTTTCTCTCAAACTAAATTCAGCACAGATGAAGTATAGCACCTTCTCACGTGAATTGTTGGCAGTGTACCTGGCCATCAGGCATTATCGTCATATACTAGAAGGTCGCGACTTCACGATATTTACCGACCACAAGCCATTGACGTATGCTCTACACGCCAAATCCGAGAAGCATAATCCTCGTGACATTCGTTATATGGACTATATTGGACAATTTACCTCCGATATTCGCTACGTCAAGGGCACCAGCAACACCGTGGCCGATGCGTTATCTCGTACAACTCTCAATACCATTCAACCTGCTACACTGAATTTTGACCCTTTAGCAGACGAACAGCTAAATGACGAAACATTCTCAGCCGTCCGATCTGATACTTCCTTACAGATCGAGAAAAGACCACTTCCGTTTACGGATAAATCTGTATATTGTGACCTCAGCACGGGCAATCCATGCCCTTACGTACCGCCAGCAATACGACGCCCAGTTTTTGCTCACTTCCACTCCCAAGCCCACCCTGGTGCTAAGGCAACGTTGCGGACCATATCGAACAGTTTCGTCTGGCCCGGTGTGGCAACTGATATTAAACAGTGGTCCCGCACGTGCTTACGTTGCCAAGCAACCAAGGTAGGCAGACACAGCAAGGCGCCTGCATCAACTTTTCCCAACCCTGATGGACGATACATTCACCTGCACGCAGATTTGGTCGGTCCACTAGAGCGTGTAGCCGAATACGAATACATACTCCCCATCGTAGATAGCTTCACTCGCTGGCCAGTCGCAATACCTCTTACATCGATTACAGCCGAAGCAGTAGCTAGCGCAATCTTTAATAATTGGATTACCATATTCGGATGCCCTTCAGTAATTACCACTGATAGGGGTCCAAAATTCCAGTCCACATTGTTCAGCGAATTCACAAATTTATTAGGAATTAAGCATATATCCACCACGGCTTATCACCCTTGTGCTAACGGACTAGTGGAAAGATTCCACAGACAGCTCAAACGGCCGCACATGGGTTGACAAACTACCTTTCGTTATGCTCGCCTTGCGTAACACTATCAAACAGGATCTAAAATGCACCAGTGCAGAACTAGTTTTCGGTACACCTTTAACTTTGCCCTGACAGATTTTCTGCAATACCACCGACGTTCTGCCGTCCAGTAATTTCGTCAGTGACATCAAACAAAATATGACTGATGTCATTTATACCCCAGCATGGGCATACCATAAACCTTATTATGTTACTGCAGCCCTGCACTACACAAAATATGTTTTCCTCCGCAAAGATACGGTCCATAAGCCTCTCACACCCAGTTATACTGGACCATATCCTGTCATTTCTCGCACGTCAAAGTACTTCGTCATCGACCTTGCGGGGAAACATAATACGGTCAGTATCGACCGGCTGAAACCTGCCTATATCCAACATGATGGCAAGCCTTTGAACACTCCTAATTCGTCACATTCAGCACCTTCCAGCACACAATCATTTCCAGCATCTGACATGGAAGCAACTTCATCTACCCGTACCAGGTCGGGTAGGCACGTTCATTGGCCTGCTAAGTTCAAGACGTATTTCACATATCAATAATCATAATGCTATGACTATTAAGCTGGGAGGGTATTGATGGAATCGTCCATACATACCTTTTCAACCCTCCAGAATAATACACTCTACCACAAAATTACCTATTAACCAATCAACACCCTAGTTCCAGTGAACTAGACTTTTCATTGGCTCAAACTGTAGCAAATTTCACGCAAAATATAGAATTTTCGCTCTTAGCGGTTTGGAGCCGATTCCTACTTCCAGAACAAAATAAAAGGAAGCTTTCAGATCGATTCGGGCAGTCAGAATTTCAGCCGTTTTGATCGACATTTTTTGACCTTTTCTGACTGCTGTTTTTGCCGTCCGACTGTTTTTTTGAATATTACCCTTATTGTATTGAACTTTATTTCTGGTTAAGTTTGACTTTATTACTGTATTTTGTGTTTTTACGACTGTTTTGAAAAGATTTTGATTTTTTCTTTTCCTTTTTTCCCCTCCTCATTTTTTAATTTTTACCCCCTTAATTTTTGCTCTTTTTCTTTTTAATTTTCTTTTTCCTTAATTTCTCTTTTAATTATATCTTCGTTTTCTTTTGTTTGTAACCCCTGTCTGTGTTTCACTTTAATTTTTGTTGACTAACTGTTTATTTCTTTAATTCTTTCCTTTTAATATCCTTTAAGTTTTTCGTGTTTTGTTTTTCTGTTACAATTTTGTATTGTCTATTTGTCTATTTATTTTGTTCTAAACACTAATCGGTCTTCACTATGGCTCTCTGGTTAGCAAGTGTAAATGTCCGGGGCCTGAGGTCCGAGTCTCGCAAGGCAAGGCCCTCTCGTGACTTTCAGCGCCTCGGGGTGAATGTTTGTTGTGTGCAAGAGACCCGGTTTTCTTCTCATGACCGTGAGGACATACTGTCTAAGAGGTTCTCCCTTTATTCAACATGTTTTGATGGTCGTTCGAGGGGTGTCTCTTGGCTAGTGAGCGAGTCTTTGAAGGCTTGCTTGTACTCTTGGCTTCGCAGATCCGGCGGGCAGGCTTTGCGTGCTGGATGTTACTATAAAGGATAAGGCTTATTGAGAGGCCTCATTGTCGATTTTCTTTTGTTTATTTGTTTGGCGTCAGCCATTTTGTTTTTGTAACTAGCTCCGTCTAGTTTTGAAAGTTTCGTATTTTCTTTGTTTTTCCTTTTTTTCTTTGTTTAGTGTTTTCGTTTTTCTTTTCGTGTTTTCCTTTTTCTAACTTTATTGTTTCGCCTTTAGGCGAACTTTGTTCTTTAATTTTTTGTCTATTATATATTGTACGTGTTAAATTTTTTCTTGCGTCGTTTGTCATGTGATTTGTTTATATTTATCTGTTCTTTGTTTTTGTAATTATTTTTTTTTGCTGTCTCGCTTTCGGGCGAGTTTTGTGTTTTTTTAACTGCTTTATTTTTGTGGTCATTTTACATTTTCGCTACTAGGCGAACTTTATTTAGCATTTTTCCCCGCCTATAGGGGTCTTTGTTTCTTACCACCGC